CAACTTTATGCCATCGGATATCTTCCCTAAAGAGAAACCTGCTGCTAAGGTCTGCTAAGTCTTTAAAGCAGATATATACTTCTATATAGGAAGGTCCTTTGACTTTGTGATAAACCTACTAGAGTGATCCATGTCCTACACATGTATTATCTAGTTTTTCAGTAACTTATACCTAGGCCGAGGCCAAGTATTTGCAAGCCAAAGTCGCTATTATTACCTACTCTGTGCCTTTGCAAATCTTCTTATTTTGGATAAATGATGTATATCACTTGTTATTACATATAAACAAACTATAAAAATCATAAAAAATTTGCACAACTTTGTAATCAAGATTCTTTTTAATTTTATTTTTAATCACCCTTCAAATTTCATAAAAAGAATCTTTAAATTGTTACAAGTAGACTGTAGCCTTCTTAATATAGCACAAATAACAAAGTACACAGCTATAAAGCTCTGTTGCAAGATTATAGCAGTGTGAAAGTGGAATGTTATTTCACTAAAGGCAGTTTGTAAAAAGTATATAGTTAAAAAAAGATATATTTTATTTACAATATATAAGACTTTAATTACAAGAAAGAATCCTATAACCAAAGAGAGTTTCTGTATCTACTTAAGTCTATCTAAGGATGATTCGAACTAACTAGCAGAAAGAGAGAAAAGCCAGGGTTTATATATCTTTTCCTAAACTATCTAAAACTAATAGAAATAATAAGAAATGATAAAAATAGTAGAAATGATAAAAACGATAGAAACAGTAAAAATAGTAAAAATGATAAAAATAGTAAGAATAGTAAGAACGGTAGAAACAGTTATCATTTTATTAGTTTCTAATACTACACGCAACTAACTAATAATATCTAAGGTTATACGATAATATAAGGTGCATCAAACTAAAACACGACTTATAGCTTTTTTTAAATTTTAAGAAAATTACATTTAAAATTTCATGTAACAATAATAATGATGATCTATTATTAGTATAACCTGTTGAATCGATATCAATTAGCCAATTATACAGATGCATTTTTATGATTTTGCAGCAAGGATTGATAATCAGATTTTTGAATTCTAATTTTAGATCACAACTAACCATATATGAGATTTAAAAAAGAAGGTATTGACAAAAATTTTATTATGTAAATCAACATTTTAAATATCAGATTATTTAGAAAAGTGTCTACTTTATACGACTATATATTTAACTTATTTTTGCAAAAAATGCTATAAGCCATGTTTTAGTTTGATGCGTCCTATATAATTAGTTATAGATATCATACTATACTAAACTTACACAATGGAAACAACAAAATAATATACCTTCTAGACCTAATCGCAATACAACAACTATCTATATAACAACTATTCGAAGTACAGTACAATACAGAATACTATATATCTATAGCTGCCTGCCAAACCAATAATATAATAATAATATTTGTTCACATTTTGGTAAAGCAATTAGAAAAATACAGTATCTTTATAGACTATTATATAGATTAAATTTAGTACTTCAACTAATAATATCTTATATTATCAAATCTAAATAAATTTTAATTATTCTAGTAGGTTTAGGTTACAGATAAATCAGTATCTCTAGTTTAGATAGTTTCTGATAGTTTAAGTCTTATTCTTGTAAAAATTTTTGTAAATTGACTCTAGCCAGAAAAACTTATAGTAGATTCTTAATATAGTCAGACCTCTCTAAATATACACTCTCAGGACTATAGTAGATAATTTCAAAAATATGTATTTAGAGAAAATATGCATTTAGAGAGATCAAAATCTATAATCATAATATTACTTGGGACTAAGCATAGGCATGTATTTAGAGAGGTATTTCATATATTGTACATTTAGGAAGGATGCATTTAGGAAGGCTTGACTGTACAAATTATTAATAAAGATAAAGGCAAAACCTCACCTTAAAAAAAAAATTTGAGAATTACTATTTGTATCTGATATAAGAAAAAAATCAAAAATTCTTAATATCTCAAAATTTTACTAAGGTAACCATATGTATATATCTTAAGTAAAATTGTTCAGCACCTAATTTTGCATATAACCACATATATTTCTAAATCTAACTCTAACCTTAATATATATAGGGCTCTATAAAATTATTATACTGGGCATTATACCCTATGGGTAAAGATAGTAAATTTCTATAAATTTTTTTAAATAAAATAAATTAAAGTAATCTTTTTTAATTGCCAATAAATTTATATTAAGGCTATAATATTGAATTATAATAAATCTATACTATATTTAGATCAAACTAAAATAAACTTTTATAAAGAGAACCTGACAGTACTTATAAAAAATTATAAAAAATCTACATTAACACTATACAAAGCATTATAAAACAATTACAGCTTATTAATTTACTGAAAAAATTTATTGAAATAAATAGTACAAGTCATCAGATTCTAAAGAAAGTATGCATAATAATTTAATATTAGTATAAGAAGAATTATAATTCTGTACAATAGTTTAAATACAATATCATTGAGGCAAAGGTTACCAAAAGTTTAAATCTTTTCATGAAAGTTCTAGATTTCCAATAAAAAATAAGCGCCGATGCAAAAAGTGCAGAAACATTGGTCATTATCAGTAAAATTGTAACATGTTAATATAGGTAAAACTGATATATGCTGTTGTAATTGCTGCTAGAATTGCATGTTGTATTGTAATCATGAGCAATCAAATGATTGTTTTATTGTAAATGCCGAAGTAGTTTAACATTCATCTCAAGCTTGATATTTTTAACTCATCTCAAATATGCCAATTAGTTCGATTAGTTGGGACTAGGTTCAAATCTTTGTTGTACATCAAATTAAAATTGCATCAGGACATAAGTTAAATATTGAATGTTTATTAGGAGGCCTACGTTAGGATTTAGGGAAGGTATTGGTGTGATTATAGCTATTTTAATTTGAAGTACAACATATTCAAAGCAAATGGCCGTGAATAGAAATCAAGATTTATATAATAAATCTGCTTGATTTCTATTCACGGCAGCCCAAATAGTCAGGATCGTTAACGTTTATTATATTATTATATGAATTACCTAAATGCCCAAACTTTAGCTTACTGGGACTCTGATAAATGCGATACATAAATAATGATTAAAATGAGAGCCACGAATTAGCCAGAAAGACTATCAAAAATACAAGTTATGTGAAGATAACATATTTTGGTAGTCTTTATGACTAATTTGTTTGGGGTGATTTTTTAAAAATCTGCCATAGTGGTAAATAATAAAATTCTGATAGTTTAACTACTAAATTTACAAATCAAATCAGACAACGGTTTAATCGCTCTTTTGTTAATTATTTATTGTCTTGATATATCAAAAACAGCAGTTACTTATATGACTTCATTCAATGTTGTAGTTTAATATTATAGCAAATATTAATAGCTAACGAAATCGCACAAAAAAATTCATATTCAATCCGGCAAAGAATTAATATATATATATATATTCTTAAAGACAAAAAAGTGCATAAATATCATGATATCAAAATTTTAGAATGAAGATTTCGTTTATGTCACCTTTCTTCCATAAACCCTAACGCTATTCCAATAAGTTTGAAAGAGATCAACCTCTTCTTTAATTTTAAAAAAGATTCATATCATACTCATCATCATCAAGTTTCATATAGGGAGCTAAATGATTTTTAATCTGCTTCAAAACCATAACCAAGTTTTCTAAAGCAAGTTCACCAATAGGGTTATCCCAATTACCAATTGGGTAGCATTGCTTTTCAGTAGTTATGGAGGTTATATGAGAAATGGAACGGAATAGAGGTTCTAGAGTTTCCGTTATAAGAGGATTTATTCCTATTGATTTATAGTATGATCGAACTATATCGATCGATTGAGGTAGACAGAATTTAGATATTAATATAAAACTTTAACAACTTTCAACTCGAATTCACGAAATTCGAAAATTCGATTTATAAATTAGAAAGAGTATAACTTGAAAATTATTCATAATAAGCAAATTTGAATTATATATAATGACATATTTAAATTTTGCTTATTAAAAATTGAACATTCTAATTATTATAATTGATTCAAACACATTCTATCAGGTTTATAATGCTAATAAATGCGCTAGCTTTGCAATTTGAGATTACATCTAAATAGAGATGTTAAGTCCCAAATTATAAAGATTGGTATTGAAATTACCTGAAGACATAAATTCTTGTGTTAACATTCCTTCGTTACCACCTTGAGCATCAATATCCATAATTTCCAAATATCCACCAGTTTTTAAAACTCTCTCCAACTCATTTATTATCTCTTCAAATTTATTTTCAGGTATTTCACAAGCCATAAATCGTACATATATAAAATCAAATGTTTCATCCTCGAATGGTAGTCTGGATAAAGTGTCACAGTATTGAATTGAAACATTTTGTGGTGTTGGTGGAGTGAGATCAAGAATTACTGAAGAGGGTTTTTCGACACCGAAAAAATGAAGATTTTGGATATTGTGATGATAAATCTATGAGCCAAGTAGCTGTTCCGCAACTTTTATTTTTAATTAAAAAAATTGAATATGAATTTTCTTTTTTTTTTAAATAAAATTTAAATACAAATTTTTAAACTTTAAAAATTTAAAGACGAATTTTTAAAATTTAAAAGTTTTAACAATGAATTTTTAAAATTTAAAAATTTAAATACGAATTTTTAAAATTTAAAAATTTAAAAGTTAAAAAAAAAATAATTTAAAAAATAATTTAAAAAATAATTTAAATTACCCAAAGTCCAAGACCTTTGCACCAGTTTCTAATTTGTCGTTAACAGGAGCTGAAAAGTTACTTTGCCATATGTATTTAAATATATGATGCTGTAAAGCCAACCTATCCCCTCCATAGTTCTTTTTTGGAATCGGGTATTTTTCATCATAAATTACTGTTGAAGTTGGATAGACACTTTCAGGACGTGAAATGACGATTCGCACATCTCTAGTACTTATATTTTTAGAAGTAGAACATCCCATGTTTTTTTTGTTTTTTTTTTTCTTTTGTTTTTTAGCAGAATATTAGTGAAAAGTTAAAGGAAAAATGTTTCTAGTTAAGATATTTTTTATAAAGGAAAACAAAATCCACGAATTTTCTATCCAACCAGTCGCACAAATATTGTGATATGTCACGCGTATTATTTTTGTGTCGTTATTTTATATCATAAATATTGTTTCACAATTTCTTTTCCATTGTATTTTTACATTCGAATATTTTGTACACATACATATATATGCAATCTACCTTTCACAAAGACAAATTTTTAGATACCAAAAAATACTTAATTAATTCACATATTGTCACAATAAATTCTCGTGCAAAAATAAGATTATTTGTAGATAGATAGAATGTTATTTGGAAACTCACATTTCTCAAAAACATGTGTGTAGTACGTACGGGTTTACTAATTCCCCACCGCCTCTACCACTTCTGATTGGTTCTATTAATTATTCCCATATCGAAGTATCTATGTTATTAATCAATTTTACGGTACTCCGATAGCGAAGTGATGGAGAAATTAGTAAACTCTCACACAAGTACGTACGTACGTACGTATATGTACGTGCTTTGAAAGTCTGCATTACAAAATATATGACATCATTTTAACATTATCTAATCCAATCTAATCTAATATTGCTCATCACTCATCTAATCTAATATTACCTTTTTACTAAAAGAAGTTATAAGCAATCTTTTCCGATCGATAGGGGATTTCAGAATTAACGTGCAGGAATCTAATTTGGGTAGAAATAGATAACGTATTCATTTTCAAATGATGATGTATAAATTTATTTCATTCTCCGATAAATTTGAATTGATAGCCTTTGTGTTGTTGACAAGTTTACTTTTTTTAGATAGGAGTCTCTGAACACCCCCATTCCATTTTCCGATTTCAAAATTTTTGATACACAAATAAAATTTCACTTATTTCCGAAATACGCTATTTGTTTTTTTAGTAGAGTGCGGAACGGGCCGGCCCGTGGGCCGAAACTGGAATTTAATTTGGACCACTTCCAAAGTATAGTTATAATATGACTAAAACTTTGGGGGTATTGCTTCCAAAAAAAGTCTGTTTAGGTCCGCGAGTCGGCCCGTTCCGCACCATACCTAATAGTATTTTTTGGAAGCTTCTCTTTTTTTTGTGCACACTATAGTTGTTTAGAGAAACTTAAAGGTTTCGAAATTTGATTTCGACTTTCACCGAGAAAATTTAAAACGGCAAATAGTGAATCTGGCAAAATAAAACGGTAAAGGTGGCAAAAATAAAGGTGTAATAACGTTTAATAAAATTTAAATAAAAC